TCAGCGCCCAAGGGACCTGACTGTCCCAGCCCTGGGCAAGGTGTGTCTATAGAGCAAGGCATATCCTAACAGCAGTAAGCAAAACAATGCAGCAGAGTAACTCATCAAATACTGATGCCACTCAAAGAAAGAGAGAAATCCAGTCCAAGGCAGGCAGGTTGCCCAGTGGGTAGAGAGCTGGGCCTGGAGTCAAGAAGAGCTGAGTTCAAATCCAACCTCAAACACTTAGTAGCTACATAACCCTTGTCCAGTCACTTAACCTTTGCCTGCCTCAGTTTCTTCAACTGTAAAAAGGGGATAATAGTGTCCAGCATTGTTTTGAGGATAATTAACCAATCAATAAACATTTATTAAGTGTCTACTATGTGTCAGGCATGGTGCTCAGCTCTGAAGATGCAACTATTAAGTATTTGAGGTAGGATTTGAACTTGGATTTTCCTGTCTCCAGTTCCAACATTTTCTCCATTGTGCCCCCCCAGCTGCCTCAAGTTAGTATTTTGTTGTTGTTGTTATGCAGTCATATCCAACTCTTTGTGACCCCATTTGGGGTTTTCTTGGCAAAGATACTAGAGTGGTTTCCTATTTCCTTCTCCAGCTCATTTCACAGCTGAGGAAACTGAGGCAAATAGGGGTAAGTGACTTGTCCAGGGTCACACAGCTAGTCAGTGTCTAAGACCGAATTTGAACTCAGGTCTTCCTGACCCCAGGCCCATTGTTCTATGCACTGTGCCACCTCACTGTCCTGCCTCAAGATAGAGCAAGAGTTATTTTATTATGCTTACATTATAGATGAAATAGAGATTTGAAGAAGGTGACTTGCCCTTACGTTGCTAAAAGTACTAGAACTCAGGTCACCTTCCTCCAAGTCTAAACCAGTGTCTCTTTTTTATGACATTCTTCTGTCTTCATGGGATCTCCTTTCCCCACCCCCTTCACATCACGTTTGCTTCTTTCCACTCACATCAAGACCTTCTTTCAAAGGGGTTTACAATAGGATGGGTCCTCAAAAGTCATCCAATTTGATCCCCACCCAAACCCCAAATTCTGCAATGGAATCTCTGCCAAGTGATTATCCAGCTTCTAAAGATGACTTACAGTGACAAAGAAATCACTAGAATCCTGTGTGTTGTACATATGACCCTGTAGGTAATATCAAAAAATAACACTAATAATGTTGATGATGATAACTAGATAATTAGCATTTGTGTAACTCTTTAAGGTTTGAAAAGTGCTTTAACTATATTATCTCATTTAATCTTCTCAACAAACTGAGGAGGTATGTACTTTTCTCATCTCCATTTTACAGATGAAGAAACTGAAGCTGAGTGAGGTTAATCCACTTGTTCAAAGTCCCATAGCTAGAAAGTGCCTCAGGCATCAGTTCGTACTAGGTCCTCCCAGACCAGCACTTTATCTACTATGTGAGAACTGGAAAGGATCTTAGAAGACATCTACTCTAGCCCTCTCATTTGAAGAAAAAAAAAAAACCTAATCTGTATGGATAATTTTGTTTTGACAGCACCTACTTTTCCCAATGTTTCTGTCTCATCTCCTCCTAGAGAGCAATCCCTTGCAACAAACAATTAAAAAAGAGGAATAAACAACAGTTCATCAAAACTAACCCACATATCAAAACCACCTATTTAGCCTTCATAGTCTTCTACCTCTGCACAGAAGTCTGGAGAAATACCTTCTTCTATCTCCATTTTGATAGCTCCTCATTTCACAAGGGAAGACCCCAAGACACAGAAAGGAGAAGTGTGCTAAATTTGGAATCTGGAGACCTGGTTATAAATCCTGACTTTGCCACTTACTACCTATGTGACCGTGGACCAATTACTTCACCTTTCTAGGACTCAGTTTCCTCATCTGTAAAGTGAAGGGGCTGAACTGGGAGACCTCTACAATTTCTTTTAGCTCTAATCCTGTTAACTGTTGTCCCCCTACTTAGTTGTCTGTGGCCTCGGGTAAGCTGTCCAAGGTCTTTGGACCTCCCATTCCTCCTCTTCTGTAAAGGGGGCAGTTGGACTAGCTGGTCTTTAAGGGTCCTATCCTTCATTGACATTCTATCATCCTAAAGTGACTTTCCTCCTGTGCCCCAGTCAATCTGCCATTTCTTGCCTAACAATTTAATATTAGTTCATATTTCTGTAGGGTTTTAAGATTTACAAAGTACTTTCCTCAACACAAGAACCCTGATAAACTTGAAAATGACCACAATTCAATCGAACCCAATATAAAATAAGCTGCCCACCTCCTGCCCAAGAGGGGATGGACTCGATACATACTGAGGCGTGTGTGTTTTGGCACACTGACTCCATGGGAGTTTGTTTTACTTGACTACGCATATGTTTCACAATGGTTTTCTTTCCTGCCCCCCCCTTTTTTTTCAGTTGGAGGAGGAGAGATGATGAAAGAGAAAGAAAATAGCTTTTTTGTTCAATGAAAAAAATTAAATTAAAAACAAAAGCAGCAGGATAAGGCATCAGATTGTCTAGTTTTTAATGGGAAAACACTTTTAATCATACCTTGCATGGGAATTGAAAAATAAGACAAACATCTAAAACCTTTTAAAAAAATTTTTCCCTCTAACCAGCCCTTGAAGGCAGGTATGAAGAAAGGGATAGTCTCACTTCTGATTTTGTGTCCCTAGTGCCTAGCACAGTTCCTGGCTCTCTGCAGAAGATTAATAAAGGTTTGGTCAATCAATCGGCAAGCATTCACTAAGTAAGCGTCTACTACGTGCCAAGAACTGTGTTGGGGGGGGTGAGGACGCAAGGACAAAGAATGATATAATCCCTTGTTTCTTCTAATAATAATAAAAGCTGGCCTTTATTTATCATCTTAAGATTTATAAAGTACTTTGTAAGTATTATATCATCATAAGATTTATGCTTTAGATACTTTTATTCCATCATTTGTTTTTTATTATATCATTTGTATTATAGTATTATAGTATAGTATAATATCATTTGACTCTCACAGCAACCCTGTGAGGTAATGCTATTATCTCCATTTTAAAGATTAGGAAACTGAGGCTCAGAGAGGTTAAGTGATTTCCCCAACGTTAATAGGTAGCAGATGATAGTGCTGGAAACTTAAACCCAGGTCCTCTGGCTGTTATAAATCGAATATCTTTGTTTTTTAAAAATAAATGTCACAGTGATTCTTTTTTGTATATTGCTGCCACTTACTAATGACCGTTCTCTGTCCCTCTCCTCTAAAAAGTATCCTCCGCTTTAACAAAATACGTGTAAACAAAACAAAAACATACACGAGCTTTTTTTTTTCTCTTTCCAGCATATATCTCATTTCAAGCCTCTCTATTGAGAAGAGGGCGGTATCTTTCTCTGCCGGAAGCCAGTTTTGGCCACTTCATTTGTCTGGTGTTCTAATGTCTTGCAACATTGTTTTCTTTTACTGTGTTGTAGTCCTTGTTTAAATTATTCTCCTAGTTCTGGGAACTTCACCCTGCCTTGGTTGAAACAAATCTTTTCACGATTCCATGCAGGTCTTCCAATTTTTTCTTCTTTTCAGCATCAACAATTTCCTTTACCACAGTGTTCAGCCACTCTCCATTCAGGGTTCTTTCTACCTTATTAGGTCCCATCATCTTCTATAAGCACCAATAAGTATTATAGAATAGCAAGACAATCTGGGGGACTTTATTTGAAAATTCTTAGGGTCTTGACCCTGGAACCAAGAATTCTTCCTGACTCTACTCCTGCTTCTCTATCCAGCTATCTGGCTCAGGAAGACCAAAATTCAAAACCTCCCTCACATACTAACTTAGCTCTGTGGCCCTGTGTTAATCACTTCCCTCTCTCAACCTCAGTTTCCTCATCTGTAAAAATTAGGATAGTAGCATCTACTTCTTAGAGTTGTTGTGAGGCTTAAAAGAGATGAATGCCTGCCAAGCCCTTTCTCACTGTGTAAATGCTAGCCATCACCACCGGCACCATTATTGTTTGGCATCCCAGTCCCTCCATATCTGCCACACCAGCTCCTGCCATCTCAGGACACTCAGAAGCCAAACATGCTTTCCTTTTGCATGTAGGGAGGAGGGAGGGAAAGGGGGTAAAAGAATGGAAGTGCGGGGAGGCAGGGGAGATCTCAAGTTGCCCCCGGCAGCCAGAACAGTATGGGAAGGTCAGCACCTACTCCTTTAGACAAACAGTCCCGATGTGTCTTCCAGGTGAGGGTGTCCGCTAAGCTGTTCAGCAGACGGGGAGGGGGAAGGTCTTTGCTGCACAGGCCACCCAGTGAGTGCACAGACCAATCTCCAGAAGAGGCCAGGCCCAGCAGCTAACTGGCTCTCCAGAAACCCAGGGCCTTGGGGTGACAGGGGGCACCGTTAGCAAAATACTCTAGGGCTCCTATTGCTCCATAAATCTTTTCCGATTGCTTTTCTTGGATGATAAGGCCTGATGAGGAGGATAATGAGGGTGAATTATTATCTGCTACTGAAGGTTCCCAAAACCTTAATCCCCCTTCTCTGGGCCAAAGAGTCTGCAAGGGAAGTTGGCATAAACAGCTTTAGAATTGGGGTGGGGGTGGGGGTGGGGGTGGGCACAGCTTGAAGAAGGGCTTGGATTAGAGGGAGGGAAGCTTTTTCAGTGTTCAGAAATCTGGTGTCTTCAGTACCTTAAACTGAATAGGGAGCAGGGGAGGGAAGGTAGAGAAAACATGGAACCACGTGGGAAGGCCAGGCACCAGAGTAATAATAACCGATACTTGTATCACACCTTAAGGTTTGAAAAATTCTTTACATGCATTTGAGCCTCCCACCACCCCTATGGGATAAGGACTGATGACATGATTATCCCTATTTTAGAGACGTGGGGACTGAATCTTAGAAAAAGTGAGGGGACTTCATTCACTCATTTAGCAAGTATTTATTAAGCACCTGCCAAATCCTGTGCTAATGCGAAATTTAGCAACAAAGGCCAAAAATGAAACACACAATGCCCTCAAGGAAATTATATTCTGTTGGAGGAGAGGGGAAACACGTTCATAGAAAATGAAATACAGACCATAGACAAAATAATTTCCAGGGTTTGTCTCTAGCATCTGAGGGAATCAGGATAAGCTTCCTATAGAGGGTGACATTGGAGCTGAAGAATGAAGGAAGTCGAGGGTTCAAGGAGGAGGAAGTGATGAGGGAGGGCATGCTGGGTATGGGAAACAGCCTGTGAAAAAGCAAGGAGGTGGGGGACAAAGAATAGACCAGATTGGAACATAAAGTTAGTGAAGGAAAATAACATGCATTTGGTCCAGAAAAGGACAATTGCCCATGATTAGCACAGTAAGTATCAGAAGCAAGATCTGAATACAGGTCTTCTGGATTCCAGGTCTACCCCTATCCATTAGACCACACAGCCACTGGACTAGTAAGTGATTTTTTTTTAAATGAGGATGTTGGACTAAATAATCCCTAAGATATTATTCAGCTCTAAATCTATAATCCTAGGATTTTTAATATAAATATGATTTCTATGTTATTTTAAAAATTTACATTTGTTATATAATTTCTATGCAAACACACACACATTCATTAGATTGTAAGGTACTTGAGGGAGCTCCTTAACAGTCTTGCTTCTTTTTGCATCTCTAACATTTAGCATAGCACCTGGCACATGGTACTTAATAAAGCCTTATAGATATAAATGTACTATATGCATATATATACATATATGCACATACATATATATATACACATATATAATATCAATGACTCCCATCTCTATGGGATTTAAAGTTTACAAAGCACCCCTTCCAAAAAAAAAATCTGTGATATAGATAGCTAGCTCTGAGTTTATCTTAGTGCCTCACACACTCTTTCAGAGACCTTCTTTAGCCACTTTGTCACCCACTCTTCGCATCCCCCAGCTTAGTTTTCTCAGCTTGCACTCTCCTCCAGCTTCCTGGATCATTCCCCCCACCTTTCCCCCTCCCCTGTTACTCTAGACCCCAAATCACAGAACAAGAAAGGACTTTAAGGACTATTTATCCAACTCTTTAATTTGATAGAAGTGGAAACTGAGACCCAGAGAGATGAAATCACTTACTTGAAGTGACAGAGCTAGTTAGTTGCAGAGCCGAGTAGGACCTAGATTTCCTTACAGCCAGTCCTCTATAAGCATTGCCTCCTCTCCCAATCAAATCCTTTGTCTGCTTACTTGAAAAGGAGTTTATGTGTTGCTTCATACTATAGTGTCAATGTCTACGTTAAAAGGATTAATATCTTACCCTTCCCAGGGATATTTGCATTTTAACGGGGGAATCTCACCTTTACACAAAGAAATATAAATCTCTAATTATGGAACTGCAGGCACTGAGACAGGCCAGTGGGGGGGAGATCATTTGCAGCACAGAAACCCATCAACCAGTGCCCACAAATCACATCACCTTCTCGGCATGTGGCTGTGGCAGGCAGGCCATTCGGGAGGCATTTGAATTGACCTCTTTGTCATTCTGTGACAGACGGGAGAGGAGGGGTCCTCAAGGAGCAGGAGACAGCCTGTTCATCAGGAAGGAGAAACAATAACATTAAGGACTTGAGGGGTTTAAAAACAGATGTGAGCAGGAAACCTTCAAATCCCCCAGCCTCAGTGTCCCAGCATTCCCAAATCCCAGAATCTCCGAAGTGGACGGGCCCCCAGAGAGCATCAGGCCTGACCTGTGTCTGAACGAGACCTTCCTCCCTTAGAATGACCCTGACAAGCACCCATCCAGGGTGTGCTTCAGGATCTCCGAAGAGGGGGCGGCCACTTGGGGACAGCTCCGGGGCTGAAGAGTTGTTTTCCTGATGCCTGAAGCCTGAATCTGCCTCCACAACTTTTACCACCCCCTCCCTGCCTTCGTTCTGCCCTTAGGGGCCAAGCAAAACAATTCTAATTACTCTTCCACAGGCAGCCCTTCAAATACTCAATGGCAGCTGCCAAAGTTCCTCCTGAGCCTGCTCTTTCCTGTGTAATTAGTCCCGCCTTCTTCCATCTATCCTGGTTTGACATACTCTTCAGTACAATCACCATCCTCATTACCCTCCTCTGGAAACCGCCAGCTTATCAATGTTCTTCCTAAGGTGTGGTGCCCACAACTGTTCTAGATGTAGTCTGACCAGAATGGAGGACAGCGGGACTGTCACTTCCCTGAGTCCCAGACATTAGTCGTCTTTTTTTTCCCCTTTTTCCTTTTTTTTTTCTTTTCCCAAGGCCATTGGGGTTAAGTTCCAGTTGCCCAGCGTCACACAGCTAGTAAGTGTTATGTGTCTGAGGCCGGATTTGAACTCAGGTCCTCCTGAATCCAGGGCCAGTGCTCTATCCACTGAGCCACCTAGCTGCACCCATTAGTCCTCTCTTAATGCATCCTAAGATCACTTCCTAGCTGCCATGTCATACTAATGTCTCACTTTGAGCTTGCTGTCCACTAGGACCCCTAGATCTTTTTTCAAAAAAATCATACTGTTGTCTTGTCATAATACTATTCCCCAACAGATGAACTGTCTTCAAAGAATTCACCACCTACTCAGAATAATGAAAGCAAGATGATACTTGGACTGAGCCCAGAAAGTGCAATATTTAATAATTGAATAATAATTAAACATGTAGAAGCAAGGGGAAGGGTATTCACAATATGCAGGGATGCAGAAATGAGCCTGCTATATGTGGGAATCAATGAAACCTGGCAGGTGAGTCATTAGACCAAGCATACCTGACTGAAGGTAATATTGGTTCCACAAAAATAGGATATTAGGTGAAGCAATCTTACCTGGTCCAGAGAAAGCCATAGGAACAGAGTCTCCTTGGCAGTCACCTGGATCTGGCCAGGTGATCCCAAGCAGAGAACTACCCTCGTTGGAAGTAGAGGAAGCCACCTGGATTAACGCTTATCGAAGTGCCTCTAGTAGGTGCTTAATAAATATGGGTCAGTTGATTGATGGGGGTTGAGGGAGGCAGGAGCCCATGTCACACTGGATTCTGATTGTGATGCCATTACAAAGTGATACTGGTACTCAAGAGTAGCACGATATCCCAAAGCTGGGAGTGAACTTTGAATATGCAATGATTTCAGATTTGTCTGCTTAAGGGAGCTGGGTCCGAGAGAGCGGAAAAAACTTAACCGTTGTCATATAGCAACATGAGTAGGAACCGAACCCTGGCTTCTGGCCTCCCAGGCTGGTAGTTTTTTTTTTTCCTTCTCCACTAGGCCTTTTTAAATCCCAGGAAGTGAGGTTAGATGGGTAAAATGAGGCCCTATCATAGGGGGCTGTGACTCTTAGGATGAGGCTTCTGGACTTTATTCCAGATTTTCAAAGGGGGTTGACCTCGTTGTTTCCCTCTCAGGGAAGCCATCCCCACTTAATTTTCTTCTCCACCAAACGAGATGATAGTTATACAGCAGTTTATATAACAGTTATACAGTTATATTAGCACAGGGCCTGGCACACAGCAGGTGCTTAATAAATGCTTATTTCCTTCCTTCACCAATCTCGATTGCACTAGGTGGCGAAGTGAATAGATCCCAGGTTCTGGATTCAGGAAGATCAGGGTTCAAATCAGACATTTACTAGCTGTGTGACCCTGGGGATAATAATAGCACCTATCTCCCAGGGCTGTTGTCAGATCTAATGAGATTATAATTCTAAAGTGGTTAGCACATAGTAAGCTCTATACAAATGCTAGCTGTTACTATTATTAATATTATTTCCAGACTCACTTCCACCAATATAAAAAAAAATCTGCTTAGCACTTTGGGGTTGGTAACAGTTTTAGCCCCCTTTAGCCCAAAGGGCCAATGAGCCAAAACACTTGCCAGCTATATAATGAAGGGGGGGGGGGAGTGGGGTGGAGAAAAACAGATGAAATCTCCCCCAGCCTAGGGAAGGGAGGTGGGGAGGAGGAATGAATCCTCAGCACACTGAGGGCCATGACTCTGCTTTTAAAGCATCCATCCATGGGTGCTCTTAAGGAATCGCTGAATCTTGGAACTACAAAGGACCTCAGCAGTCTTTTAGCCCAAAGTGGACCTGAACAGGAGGCTTCTCTACACCAAATACAGCAGCGGTTCTCCATTGTCTTCCTGAAGGCCTGTAAAGAGGCCTCCAGTGGGAGGCCATTCTACTCTTAGCTGGTCCTAATTGTTTCCTTATATGGAGCCTAAATGTCCTCCTGCCACTTCCTAGGAGAAATCTTCCCTATCTCCCTTCTTCACCTCCCCCCTCATGTTCCTGCTCTCCTCAACTTCTCTTATATTTACTTTGCTTTCTCTCTGACATTTCCTCCCATTTATCCTGTAAAGATCTCGATGATCCGTTGTTGTTCCAACAGATGTCCCCCATTGGACAGTGAGCTCCAGGAAGCAGAGGCTGTTTTTGCCTTTCTGTGCTAAGGACATAGCAGGCACTTAATAAATGCTTGAGAATGTAGAATCCTTGAGAGGAGTAGCTGTTCAATTTTTGTATTATTTGTGCACCAAGGTAGCCCTGGATCTGGAGTTAGGAAGACCCTAGACATTAGTAATGGACAACGAGGTGGACTTGAAATAGGGGAGACAGGTTGGGGGACCCTGGGCAAGACACTTGACCTCTGTTTGCCTCAATTTCCTCAACTGGAAAATGGGGATTATAATAGCACCTTCCTCGCTTAGAACAGTGCCTGGCACGCAGTAGGCAATCTAGTAATATCAGACTATTGAATACACATAATAAGGAATTAGGGACTGGACCTACTACCAATGCAGGTTGGCATCTTCTCTGCAATTTAAGTATTGAGAGTTGCCTAGAGTTGTAAGAGGTTAGGTGACTTACCCAGGGTCACTCAAGCAGGGGTAGTCCTGAATTCAAGTCTCCCTGGCCCTGAGGCTAGCTGTCCATCCGCCCGCGGGAGGATACACAGCAGCTGCTTAAGCAATGCTAGCAAAATGAAATTGTTTGCAGCTTTCACTCACTATTCCTTTTCTGCCCGCTGCAGCCACGTCGAAAGAATCTAAGTCCTCCAGGTAATAGATCTTAAGGCCCTTGAAGACCGCTCTCCGTCTCCCATTTCCGCTCATTTTCTCCAGATAAAACGTGTCCAGTTCCTTGGCTCTGTCCTCATCTGGCAGGGCCCTGAGGCCCTTCATCATGCTGGTCGCTAATCGCAGCTCTCTAGCTTGGCGTGTTCTTGCAGAAATGCGGCCCCCAGGGCTGAACTCAGCGACTCTTCAGGTGTGGTCTGACTGCTGCTGGAAGGGGACTGGAGTGGCATGGCTTCGGGATGCTAATGGGACCCTAGAAAAGGAAGAAAAGACATTTCCCTCTGGAACGTGGATTAGGGATATTTACTCTACAGCATAGCCAGAGAAGAGGTGAAGGACTGACAAACTGGAAACCCGGGGAGGGGGATTTCGAGGGCCTGGGGCAAAGCGCTCTCTGCTTCCCCTAGGCTAGAGAAGGGACGGGGGGGATGGACAGGGCGCAGAAGGGCCGGGCTGGGCTGGGAGGGAGCTCGGCGGAGGCAGCTTCCCATCAGCGCCTTCTCCTCGTCCTATTACCACCACCACCACCCCATCTCTTGCCCTGCAGGCCTGCCCCTGCTCCCCCCGGCGCAACAAGAGCACCTGGAGGAGGCCGGAGGCCAATGGGAGGCGCGGCTAGACTCGGGGTTGGCCAATGAGCTGCCGGCCCGGTTCCTGGCCGCCCCCCTCTCCCCTCCCCCCCGGGCTATGTATAAGCAGCCTGAGCGGCAGAAAGCGAAAGTGGTGGCCCGAGCTAGTAGAGCCTAGTACCAGAGAAGCCGGAGATCAGGACCGGGGCAGGGGCGGAGGCAGGGACAGGGACAGAAGCAGAAGCAGCTTCCCGCCTAGCGGGAGAGGATGCTGAGCGCCCAGGAGCCACCTCGGCCCTCCCGGCTCCGGGGAGCAGCCGCCGGAACCCCTGAGCCGCCGCCGCCACGCAGCCCTCGGGGCACGGCCCTGGCCCCCGCCAAGCCCCTCACCTCCTTCCTTATCCAGGACATCTTATGGGACGGACCAGAGAGGCGCAGCGTCGGGAGGCTCAGCCCTGCTCCCGGGCCGGAGCCAGAGCCTGAGCCCGCGCTGCAGCCGGAGGCCGAGCCTGGCTCCTTGTCAGGGTCCGAGAGCGGCCCGGCGCCCCAGGATGAACAGCCGGAGAGGCCCGCGGAGCCTGACCAGAGCACCGAGCCGGGCTCCTCTCCCTCGGGGACAGAGTCAGGTAAGGGACTGCCGGGGACCAGAGGCCCTTCAACGGGCCTGTCCCTCATCCCATCTTTTAGAGAGCCAGGAACCAGGACACTAGGGTTCCCCTCCTGAATCGACCATTAACCCCTCTCTGTGACCTTGGATAAGTCATTCTCCCCCTTCCCGAGCCTCTCTTCCTTCTCTGTAAAATGGGGGCGGGGGGGCGGCGGCGGCGGTGGTTGATCTCCAAGTGCTCCCACATCGTTAGAGATCCGTTGCTCCCACGGCTGCCCCGGAGGTGGGGTGGGGAAGGGAATGGGGGAGTGAAAAGAGCCCTCTTGGGAAGGCCACTGCCCCACTGCCGCCCTGGGCTTTCTGCCCGACTGGCACCTTGGGACTTCGGTGCCCTGCTTTGCTGGGACGTTGTCCCTCTTCCTCTGACCTCCTCTCGAATTCCGGGATGGGGCCAGGCCAGCCTTTTCCAGTTCTAACTCCATGATCCCACGATCTCTCGCCTGCTGGAGCACGTTAGAGCGCTTTCTCCACTCCCCCACCCCACCCCCCAGTCGTCCTCTGGGGCTATGGAGACTTTTGAGACCTGAGAGGGTCCTTCCTTGTTGTGCCCACAGCCAGCCCTCTCCTATTCTCTGGGAGGCGGGTTCTCTTCTTCGGGGCACACAGTTTAAAGCCCTCCAGTCAACAAGAGAACAGCGTCGGGCGTTTGGGGGTGTCCTTACTGCCTCCAGGTTGCTAAATCCTTCCAATCTGCCCTGGTGAATGACTTGTCGAACGAGTGAAGGCGACTCCTTTTCCCTCCACTCAAACGGCGGTAATTGGAGGCCAGCCCCTCTCGGAGAAATGAGGCTGGAGGTAAAAGGCAGCTTGCAGCAGCTATACCTTACCGACTCCTTTCGTTCTTTGCTTCCCATTCCTAGTCCGTTATTTGCATTACATTCTGGTGCCCGTTTTAGCAGCACTGCCTTGGGCAGGGAGAAGAGGGTTAGCCATATGACCTCTAAATTTGCTATTCTGAAGCTACCATCACTTATAGGGATAGCAAATAGACCTGATTTCACTAGGGTATGGCTTCTTCTAGCAATGAAGATCATCCTTACCTTCTCTGAAATCTTTGGTCTTGGAGAGTTAGCTGCCTAGGGCACTAAGAGATTAAATGACTTGCCCGAGGGTCACAGAGTGTGTTGCCCAAGGCAGGATTCAAATTTAGGCCCCAAATCCCAGTTCTTTATCCACTATTCCACATCATCTCACTTTACGTAGGCTCTGATTAGCTTATCTCACTTGATTCTCACAAACCTGGGTGGTAGTCTCATTTTGCAGTTGAGGAAACTGAGTCTCCGAGGCCTAAGTAACTTTCCCAGGGTTACACAGTTGGACAGAGATTTAAACCCAGGTCTCTTCTTACTTTCCATTTATGCCACACATTCTTCAGACTAAAAGGTCTGTTAAGTCAATTCCACTTTTAATTCTTCATATTAAGGGTCTTTTCCCCTTTGTATCTCTCCTCTTCAAATGCCACACCCACTATCTCCTCTCCCCTTTCCCTTTCCATTCCCTAGTCCGGCCCCGCCTATTTGTGATAGCTGCTGTTCTGATATATGGAACTTTGATATCTCCACCAGAACCCACCAAGTATTTCAAAGGTCTCTAATGAGTTTCTCTGATTAGGGATCAGAGGCTTTTCGAGGTGGGAGGGATTTTAGAGATCATCAAATCTAACCGAAGAGGAAACTGATTCTTGAAGAAGTGTAGTGACATCCCCAATACCCCTCCCCAGCAGACACACACACACACACACACACACACACACACACACACACACACACACACACTATGAACTTTAAGAGAATTCCTCAACTATGTGAAAAAGTCCAAATGTATCCACATTCACAGTGGCCTACTCTGTTCTCTTTCTGCAGAGATAACGCCTGGTGCTGTTATGTCCTGTTCCCTGATAATATGTAACTTTCTCTCCTCCCTCCCTGCCCCTTTTCTCCCTTCCATGTTCCAGATGCACACTTTGAGACCTGTCTGTTGGACTGTGAAAATCCTGCCGGTGCTGCCTCTCCCAAAGCCCTGAAGCCACCCAAGCGGTCCCGGGCTGCCTTCTCCCATACCCAGGTCATTGAGCTGGAGAGGAAGTTTAGCCACCAGAAGTATCTGTCAGCTCCTGAGCGGGCTCACCTAGCCAAAAACCTCAAGCTCACCGAGACCCAGGTCAAAATCTGGTTCCAGAACAGGCGGTATAAGACCAAGAGAAAACAGCTGACCTCTGACCTGGGAGACCTCGATAAGAACTCCCTGCCCAGCCTAAAAGAAGAGAACTTCTCTGGGGCCTCACTGATCTCAATGTATAACAGCTACCCCTATTATCCTTACCTCTACTGCTGGGGAGGGTGGAGCCCAGCTTTCTGGTAGCCCTGGCTAGTGACTGGGGCCCAACCCATAGCTGCTTCTTCCACTTCGTTCTCTAAAAGCAAAAGGTGGCCAGAGTCAGAGAGGTCAGGAGAGGAGAAGGGGGACCCATCCACCCTGCCAAAGGCTTCGAGTAGCACTCAAGCCCCCATTTCTTGAATGGTGGTTCACTAAATCTGTGACTCAGAATCATATTTAATATTTAAATGGCACTCAGGGCCACCCAAGTCACCAAATGAAGGTACCCCTGTCATCCCAGCAATGTTGCGGAGGAATAGTCTTGTTCAGATTGAGGCTGGATTAGATGGCTTCTCAGGTGCCGCCAATCAGCTCTGCAATTCTAAACCTTGAAGTGGATCTGACTTGCTCTCCACTCCCAGTTCAACCATCTTTGCTTTGAACTACCTTTAAAAAAAAAAAGTGTGAGCTCCAGGGCTCTCTTCCCAGTGCCTTTATGCTTTGTTTTATGAGCTGTCAGCATCTCTGCTTCCGGGAGGGTCTGTTCTTTTCCTTCAGCTTGGTCACCTGTGTAAACGGAGCATCTCATGAGAAGTTAAAGCCAGAAGAGGAGCAAAAACAGTGCCAAGAGTGGAGTCTTATGACAAGGTCTGCACTCTGGGTCTAACCTAAAAGAGGTGTTGGACCTCTTTTGAGCCTGGGAATGTGCCTGATATTCTTTTGCTTCTCCCCCTGCCCCAGTAGAATGTCAGCCCCTTGAGGGCAGGTACCATTTCATTTCTGCCTCTGTATCTCCAGTGTCTAGAACAGTGCCCGGCACATAGTAGGTGTTTAATAAATATTTGTTGCATTGCACTCGGAAAAAGTCCACTCATGGACAGCTTCAGAACTGGGCAGACAAGGCAGGGTGTTAGGTTCTTCTTTGATTTCTGGTCTAGGGAGGAGGCAAAAAAATTGAATTAAAAAATTGCTGCAAGGTAAAACAAAGATGAACTCCAAAAAGTGGGATTCTAAACACTTATTACGTCATGGACTTATTGGCAGTCTGGTAAAACCTATGGAGTTCCTCTCAAAATTATATTGTAACATAATTGAAGGAAATCTTAAATTTCAGTTAGAAGTTAGTGAAAATAAAGATGGAATTTTTTTTTAACATCCAAGTTCCCCAATCCTCTAGACTCAATTCATAGACCATTGGAGGGAGGGAAGGGCCAAGTTAAGAACTCCTGATCTAGAGGGTATCCATCTTAAAAAGTAAGACCCATGTGAGATGAGACTGTTTCAAACGGTCCATCTAAACAAACATGACTCGGAACTGAAGGTGTGAGCAGTGCCAAAGTAGTCTTTATATTTCTGGTGGGGCAGTGGTATTCAGTGGCAGTGAGGGAGAGGGGAGAAGAAGAGGTCCTCTCTTTGAAGGCATCATGAAGCAGTGGAAAGCTCACTGAATTAGGACCAGAAGATCTAGGCTTCATTACTAGCTTTCCCATTAACTAATCCTACCATTTAACTTCTCTAAATCTCAGTTTCCCTATCTGTAAAGTGGGAGAGACTTTATAAAGCCTGTCTTAGCCTACCTCACAGTATTGTTGTGAGAATCAAATGAGACTAAGTTGGTGAAACAAACATCTCTTTGTAAACTTTAGATAAAGGTAAGATAGTTTTATTATTATGGATTCAAGGAGCTATGACTGGGATTTTCCCTTGAGAACCTCGGGATTCTGCTTGAGCTC